TCACCTTGCTTGGACTCGTAACTTTCCATGCCATGCCACCTACCCCTTAACCACCCCCACCCCTCCATGTAGACATGTTCCTCACCATTCTTAGATTCCAGTATCGCACACTGGTTTGTCACCACCTGTGGATGCTCTTCTTGTCCCAATAAGACTCTGATTCTCCATGCTGAGCCATCTCCCTATGAGGATACCCATCCCCACCTCACTTGAACTCTAATACCTCTTGTGTGTTACCAGTACATGTTGATATCCACCCTGTCCTGCTCAGGCTCTGATACCCTATACTGAGCTGCCTCTTGTGGGATTGTCTTTCACATCTCACCCAGGCTCTGCAATCCAAGATGCAGTGGGTCTTCTATACTTATACCTCTTTAATCTGCTTGGGCTATGACTCTTTCTGCTGTGGGACATTTTGATTTGTCACCTCCCACGATCACTCGGGTGGATGCCCAACTTGCTCTGCAACATTCAGTTGCTTTAGTATTGAGTTGTTCAGGATGCAGAATAGATGTGCTTAATTTTTTGACACTCAACAATGTTATTACAGATTTACTAAAGAAATAAGAAAAACACAGATCCTAAAAGGAACAGAGAGAATATATAAAAGACAAGTATACTGCTGTTGTGAAAGTTAACAAGAATTTGAGGTGTAAAGATTTACCTAGGAACTTAAAATAAAACCAGTAATTTTTTTAAAATTCATGTTATATAGTGACAGACATTCATAAGAGCTCCTCCCAGGAGGAGGAGGCTAGATACCTAGCCTAATCAGAAGAATGTAGGAAAGACTTTCTGGCAAAAGTGATTCCCAGAAGTCTCAAGAGATGTTTATGGGTTCATCTGGAAAGGTGGTACTTGGAAAAGGAACAGATGTGAACGGGGAAGACGTACAAGCAGAGGAGCAAACAGCAAGAGTATAGGTATGGACACAGGAAGCAGTACCTTTTGTTCAGGAAATAGAATACTGATGAGGATAGTGTATACAGGGTATGGCCAGGGAGACTAGGGAGTAAATGTGGAGAGGAGGAAAAGATCATCCCCACAGAAGGAGCAGTCCGAGCAAAGATATGGTTATATGAAAGCATTTTAAGCCTACTGTGTCAATAGTATGGTAAGACTGGAATGGAGAGTGTATTAAGGGTGCAAAAGGTAAACATGGAAAAGATAGATTGGAGCCTGATTATGGAGAAACCTAATGTGTGTTTATACATATGTGTAGGTATATGTATGTGTACTTATTTGTGTGTGTGTTGAGTAGGGGAGTGGCTTCAAATCAGTGATTTAGCCTGAAGATGCTTAGTCTGGCATCACTGGTTGGGATGGAGAAGGGGTTGCTGTTTAGAATTTAGAGTCAGGGAGATGAATTTGGAATCTTACGTAATAGCTTAGTGAAGGTTAAGAATATGGTAAGAGTTGTGGGGATTGGGCACAATAAGAAGTAACACGGAGTTTGAGACGCTTGGGAATTGATCATTCGAGGAAGCCAGAGGGAAAAGAAATAGAAAAAGCTAAAACTTGGTGTAGAGATTGGATTATTGTTTAGGATTTAAAATTAAAACTGTGAAGAGGTAATTGGTTTAAGAAATGCTGGGATGGTCAAAGGAGAAGTTATCAGCAGGCTCAGCTCCAAAAGTGGGACTTGTGACCCAGGTTGTTAAGATGTTAAGAATTGATTGATTGGCAGCTCTGGAGTGTAAGAGTCTTACATTGTGAGGACACATGGGAAAATGACTGAGCCTGAAGACAGTGAACACAAAGGAGAATGCAATACAGAACTCTAGTGGGTAGAGGGGAGAAGTGTTTGGAACTTTAGTGACTTGAGAATGGCATGAGAAAAGGCTAAGTTTATTTAAACCTTAGGCCTCATGTGTAATATGGACAGTAGAGATTTGATATAATCAGTGGAAGGTTAAAAACTGAGAGGATAAACCAACATGAAGCCAGTGACTTATGATTAGGGGCTAGTTAACACCAAAAGACTAAGAGTGTTCCACTTATGAGACTTTGTTCCCCTTACATAAAGGAAACAGTAAGTTGTGGATTTCAGTATGTTGCTCCCTTTGTGTGTCAAGCAGGTTTCAGCTAATGTTACTATTTTGTTAGGTTTCCCAGAGATTTCTACTTGCTGTTATAGGATGAAAAAAATTAAGGAATATATGAATTGGAATGTTTTCATTTTTTAAAAATTGAGCATATCAGTTCATTGTAATTCAGCATTGTTCTTTTTCTCCTTTTGCATTAGTCTGCTTTGCTTACTTATTAGTACACTATGTTGCTAGTTTAATTTTATCTTTTATGCATGACATCATTAATTCAGGTGCCCAGTGAGAACTAGATAAAAGTTTATTTAGATGATGATAGTGTCCTTTTTATGTAAAAAACACTCACTGTTTTCTCTTTCCTCACATCTCCCTTGGGGTTTTCTTGGTAGTATTTCCTTTCAGGTCCAAAGTTTGGACAGAAGTTTTTGAATTCGTAATTAGAATGTTTCCTTAATTCTAGGGAATAGTAATAAATGGATTAGAAATGTGAGACAAAAAGTAATCATTTCAAGTCAGTACTTGCAGGGTATAAAATATATTTTAGGATAATTGTTTTCAATTATATGAAAAAAATTTATTAAAATTTCCTGCCTTTCTGTTTCCTCTGTTTCTGTTCCCCAAACAAGTTGACAAACAGCTGTGACAGAAGCAATCTTAAAATAAACAAAAGTATCTTAAGTTGAATAGTATATGTCATAATATCACTCAATGAAATCCTTTGTATCTTGTTATTGTAGTGGTAACTCTTGATAGGTGTGGGAAATGACACAATTCTATATTGTGCCTTCTATATTTTTCATTTTAGTTTTTGTTTTATTGAGTTATAAAAGGTATTTTGAAACTAATCATTTATATTTACTAAAGAGGAAGGAATTCTAAAAAATTATTATCTGGGTTTTTTCATTTGTTCTTTCATTTATGTGTTAAATACTTAATGGGCATCTAGTATTGGCCAGGTTCTAGGCTCTGAATATACAGCTGTAAACCAAACAATCAGAAGTCCTTGCTTTCAGAGAGCTCACATTCTTGGGAGAGAGGGAGACAATAAACAAAATCAATCATTAAGTATATTTTTTGCCAGGTAATGAGTGCTGCGAAGAAAAATAAAGCAGAGGAAGAAGAATAGGAAAGAGATATTTTTATTTTATATGTTGTAGTCAAGAATGAGATATTTAAGTAGGGAGCAAGCAATGTGGATATTTGGGAGAAAGGACTATATAGAGAGAGAAAGGACTAGAGCATGAAAGGGCTCTTGAAGGTCAGAGTAAGAGCCTGGGAAACCATCAGATTTTTTAAAGTAAAAGAGTGACATAATCAGGCTTAACAGTTAAATGGATCACAGTGATTGCTAAGAGAACAGTTTGTTGAGGGGGTAAAGATGGAACGTAGGAGGCCAGAAGGCTAACAGTCCAGGCAAGAGGTGATGGGGGCTTTTAAATGCGGAGGTAGTATGAAGTGGTTGGATTCTTGGTAGATAGAGCAATGGTGTTTTCTGATGGATTGGATGTCAGATTGAGTGAAAGAAAAGTCAAGGAAGCCTCCACGGTTTTTGGCCTGAGCATTTGAAAGGATGCACTTGCCATTTATTGAGATGGAGAAGAAGATTGAGAAGATGGAACACATTCAGGAGTTCAACTTAAGTCATTTTAATTTGAGATGCTTGTTACATATCCAAGTAGAGATGCCAAATAGGCAACTGGATATACAGATCTCTGGAGTTAAGGAAAAACATCCAGGTTGGAGATGGTATTTGAGCATCGAGAGCGTGTAGGTAGCATTAAAATAATGGGACTGGGTGAAATCATCGAGTCCCTACTTGAAAGTGAGTACGACAGAGAAGAGATGTGAGTCCTGGGAATTTCTTATGTTTGGAGATTGCGAAGATGGGAAGGAACCAGCACAGGCTACTGAGGAGTGCCAGTGAGATACCAAGGGAGAGTGGTATCCTGGAAGCCAATTGTAGAGTGTTTCAAGGAGAGAAGGATGATCAGTCTTGTTAAATGCTGTCGATAGTTTTGAGTAAGACAAGGATGAGGAACTGACTGTTAGACTTACCAATGTGGAAATGCTGAAAGTTTTTTATTAATATGTCAAAATATAAACTCTGAAAAATATTGTCTGCTTTTATGTGAAGAGGAAAAGGAATATACATGTTTAGAACTAGAATTATTTGGGGCAGGAGTCCTTAGTAGTAAGTTGGTTCAAAACAAATAAAATTTGTGATTTTCTGGTTCTGAGCCTACATGAGAAAAAAAAAGGCTGCTATAGCCTAAAATATGATCTAGCTAATAACATACAGCATTGACATTGTGTCCAAATCAGTATACCTTTTCTTAAGTTGTGAGCTCCCAAGGGAAAAAACTCTGTTTCCTCAATTCAGTTAATATAACACTTAACATGGTACCTAACTTTGTGGGAAGATACAAATAAGTGTGATTCTTGTAAATGATTTTAATAAGTTAAATTCTTATGTATTTATATAGGAAAGAATTTGTAATAATTTATTCAAGTAGCTGGGTATAAGTGGAAATAACGTATCCATTAGTTATGTATGTATGGTATAGTAGAATGCGGTAGCAGAAAGATTCCTAGAAAGTAAAGCTTTGGTTCATTCCTGCCTCTGCCACTGATTGACTCTGTGAATAAAGAATCAAAGACTTGGCTATCTAGAATCAGCTGTCAGTACCTAGTTAGGTGACAAGAAAATGTTTATGTTGGCATTAAAAGGATAGTAAAGTCATTTTCTGTGCAATGATTTCTTAAAACACTTTTCTCTTTGAAATTAAGTTTAAATATCTGATTTCATTCTTTTAATATGTTATATAGTCTTAGTTTGTAAGCTATAAACAAGTTTTGAATTTATCCATACTATCAGGGATACTCTCTCAATTTGACTTAGTCATTTAGCTCATATTTATTCAGCATCTGCTATATTCCAGACTGATACAGATGCTAACAGTATACCTGTGAAGAAGAGAGACAAGGACTCTATCTTATGGAAGTCTTATGGAGTAAGACTGCTTTCAGGGGACCTCGGGGAAAAATAGAATTTTTTAACCAAGAAACACATTATCTGAGGTAATCTCATTGCTCTGTCTTCTGTAGTTTTTTGTTTCAACCAGTACTTAAGAGCAGATTCGTTCAGCATTGAAAAAGTTCTGCTCTCATTGAACTTACATGCCAGTTGGGGAGAGGGAAGAGTATAAAGACATATAAGAAACAACGAGTAAAATACTTTCATATAATTTAGAGGTCATTGTTATAATAATCGTAGGATATGACAAGAGTTATAAATAGTGGAAATAGGCTTATTAAGTATGTGGGTAGCATGAAACTTAGATAAAAATTACTAAATTGAGGGCTTTGTAGAGTCATCTGTGTAGTTTCATCTACTGTCCATATATGCCTCATTGCCTGAAGTGGCTTCTGTGGGCTCAGCAGGTTTTTACAATCCATGACTTTAAAGACCACCCTACTATACCAGGCTAGCCCTGGTCTGTTCACATAGAGAGGCAAGGGTCTGGAGAGAGAGAGCAGAAGCATGCAAGGCCTCTTGCAGTCTAAATTGGTACAGAATTGTTTTTGTTACATTCTATAGGTTAATGAAAGTTAAAAAGGCCAGCTCAGGTTGAAGGCATGGAGAATCAGGTTCTAGCACCTAAGTTTTGCCTCGGGCCTTATTTTCTGTGAAACTCAGACTATGAGATTGTCTATCACGCTACAGTTTTGTTTTGTTTTGTTTTTTCTTTAGCCAATGTCCTTGAATATGCTTAAATTTTTTTTGGTATAAGTACTATTAAGGTATGATTAATAAAAATAAAACAATACAACATTGTAAATCAACTATACTCCAATAAAAAAATTTTTCAAATTATATATAGTCCCATTACCTCCACAATAAAACAGTCCATTATTTTCCAATTTTCTTTTCTAATGCTTTTCCATATACATAAAACATTTTGCAGTAATTCCTCCTTGACTACTTATCATAATATATTCAGCATTTTTTTCTTTTTTAACCTTACCCCAACATGATAGTCATTACCACTACTGAATTATCTTCAAAAATGTTCCTAATGGCACAATACTCAAATTTTGAGAGATCTGACAGATTATTTTCATTTTTGTTCTATTATTGACTCTGTGGTTTTACTATTAATGATACTCATAAAAATTTATATATAAAGATTTTCTGACCTCTGCTTTTCTAACATGTAGCATGATTGAATAAAAGATCAAAGAACTTGATATGAACAATCACTTAGTATAAAATGTGTTGCAAAATATAGTCACTAACAATAATCTGATTGTTAGCTTTATAATTTTGTGCAGTTTATATAGAAGAGATGAATTGTTTGATATGTTCACTCAAAAAATATTTGTCATATGCCAGGCATCATTGTAGCCTTCTTAAATACAAATACAAATAAAATATGGAATTGACCTAAAAACAACAAAAACAAAAACACCCTGCTTCTTCAGATACAACTGCTTGCAACTTGTGGTCTGTGGTACTTTTGCTAGTTTTATATCTTTGTATATATATCTTTTCATCAAGGGCTCCTTGTCCTAAAGTTTCCTTCACTGCACTCCCACTTAAATTTTTTCTTTCTGCTTATAGTCCAGTCAGTTGAAATATGTACTTAACCAAATCAAGTGATATCTATGAATGGGTATATATTTTTATCTTATACTGAACAAGATTGAGAGAATCTTTTCCCAGCCAATTTGAATTGCTTATTCACTTATTTTAAAAATTTTTGATTTTCAAAATATGCTTTTTTTAAATGTGCCTTTTAAACTTTCACTTATTTAAGAAACGCCAGTATACTTCTTTGTAATCTACATATGGTAGATTTGTATCGTCCATTGTATTTTATTTTTTACATTTTTCTTTTGAAATAATTTTAGACTCATAGAATTTATAAAATTATTAGTACAGAGAGTTCTCCTGTACCCTTTACTTATTTTTCACCAATGATAACATCTTACATAAATGTAGTACAATTATCAAAACCAGGAAGTTGACATTGGCACAATGCTGTTAATGAAACTACAGTTCTTGTTTGAGATTTCACCAGTTTTTCCATGCAGTCTTTTTTTGGAGGATGGGGGTTCATAGTCCTATGAAATTTGATCACATGTGTAGATTCTTGTAACCACCAATAACCACCACCACAAAGTACAGAACTATTTCATCACTTCAAAGAAGCTCCCACATGCTACTCCTTTATAGTCACACTCTCACCCTAGTCCTAAGCCATGATAACCACTGATTTGTCCCCATCACTGTACTTTTGTCACTTAAGAATATTATGTGAACAGAATCATGTAGTTTGTAACCTTTTGATACTTTGTCACTAACCCCTAATGCCCCTGAGATTCATCGAAGATTTTGTGTGCAAGGATAGTTCGTTCCTTTTTATTGTTGAATAGTATTCCATTGTATGGATGTACCACAGTTTATCAGTTCACCCAGTAAAAGGCGTTTGGGTTGTTTTCACTTTGGAGGTATTACAAATAAAGCTGCTGTGAACATTTGTATACAGATTTTTGTGTGAACACAAGTTTTTATTTCCCTAGGACAAATATCTAGGGGTGCAATTGTTGGGTTGTGTGCTACAAGTGTATGTTTAACTATGAGAAACTGCCAAATTGTTTTCCATAGTGACTCTACCGTTTTACATTTTCATCAGTTTCTCCACATTTTCATCAGCACTCGGTAACATCTGTATTTTTTTTTTTTTTTTTTTTTTTTGTGGTACGCGGGCCTCTCACCGCTGTGGTCTCTCCCGTCGCAGAGCACACGCTCCGGACGTGCAGGCCCAGCGGCCATGGCTCACGGGCCCAGCCGCTCCGCGGCATGTGGGATCCTCCCGGACCGGGGCACGAACCCGCGTCCCCTGCATCGGCAGGCGGACTCTCAAGCACTGCGCCACCAGGGAAGCCCCACATCTGTATTTTTAAATTTAGCTTTCTAATAAGTGTGTAGCTATATTTGCATTTTTCTAATGGCTAATGATGTCCAACATGTTTACATGTGCTTATTTGTCATTTTTACCTTTGGTGGAGTGTCTCTACAAGTCTTTTGCCCATTTTCTAATTGGATTGATTGTTTTCTTACTGATGAAAGGTGTCCTTTATGTATTCTTGGTACATTTTCTCCCAGGCTGTAGCCTGTCTTTTCGTCCTCTTAACTGAGTGAAATACAGTGCAAAAGTTTTTAATTTTGATGAAGTCCAGTTTATCAATTTTTTCCCTTTAATGTTTGTGCTTTTGCTGTCTTATTAATTCCTTGCCTAACCATAGGTTATAAAGAGTTTCTCCTATGTTTTCTTCTAAAAGTTTTATAGTTTTTTTTTTTCACATAGATCTTTGATCCGTTTTGAGTTAACTTTTTTATAAGGTATGAAATTTAGGTCAAAGGTCTTTTTCTTGCTTATAGAGGTCCAGTTATTCCAACAGCATTTGTTGAGAGGCTGTTCTCCTCCATTGGGTTGCTTTTGCATGTTTGTCAAAATCAACTGGACGTTGCCAAATGCTGGCGAAGATGTGGAGCACCAGTGCTGGTGGGAATGCAAAATGGTATAGCTACTTTGGAAGGCAGTTTGTTAGTTTCTTACAAGACTAAACATACTCTTATCATTACAACCCAGCAATCACTCTCCTTGGTATTTACCCAAATGAGTTGAAAGTTTATGTCTGAACAAAAACTTACACAAGAATGTTTATAACAGCTTTATTAATAATTGCCAAAACTTGGAGGCAACCAAGATGATCTTCAGTAGGTGATAGGTGAATAGATAAATAAATTATGGGACATCCAGACAATGGAATATTGTGTAGCAGTAAAAAGCTATACAGACCCAGAAAGAAATGGAGGAAACTTAAATGAAGGTCATTTTTTATTTCTTTCATCATTGTTTTATAGTTTTAAGCATACATATTCCGTATTATATATATACTTAAGTATTTAATTTTTTGGAGTGATTGCAAATGGTATTAATTTTGGTTTCCACTTGTTTGTTTCTAACAAAGAGAAATATGATTGATTTTTGTGTGTTGACCTTGTTTCCTTTGACCACGCTAAACTCTCTTATTAGTTCTATGAGTTTTTTGAGAATCCCTGTAGTGTTCTACATAGATAAACATTTCATCTCCAAACAGGAACAGTTTTATTTCTTCCTTTGTAATCTGTATGTTGTTTCTTTTTCTTGCCTTATTGCACTGGTTAGGATTTTAAGTACTGTGTTCAATAGGAGTAGTAAAAGCTGTATTGATTTGTTTATATGTCATTGAAGATTTTTGCATCTCTGTTTCTGAGGGCTGTTGGCCTGTAGCTTGCTTGCTTGCTTTTTTTTCCCCTTATTGTTGTTGTATTGTCTTTATCTGGTTTTGGTATCAGGATAATGCTGGCTTCATAAAATGAGTACTTCCTGGAAGAGACTGTGTAGAATTGGTGTTATTTCTTTTTTAAATCTTTGTTAGAATTCTCCAGTGAAATCATTTGTGCCTAGCAATTTCCTTTTTTGGAAAGTTTTAAACTATTAATTCAGTTTCTTTAGCAATTATAGATAGGACTATTTAGATGATCTGTTTAATCTTGGGTGAGTTTTGGTAATTTGTGGTTATCAAGGATTTGGTCCACTTTAACTTGTTGAATTTAAATCCAAAGAGTTATTATTAGTGTTCTCTTATTATTCTTTTAATGTCTGTGGAGTATTTAACTATATTCTCTGTTTCATTCCTGATATTGGTAATTTGTGTTCTCTTTTTTTTTTCTTTGTCAGAGTTGCCAAATGTTTATCAATTCTGTTGATCTTTTTAAGGAACCAGCTTTCAGTTTTATTGATTGTTATTTATTGTTTTTCAGTTTTCAATTTCATGGATTTCTGTTCTATATTGTATTTTCCTTCTGCTTGCTTCGTGTTCCTTTTGCCCTTTTCAAGTTTCTTGATGTGGGAACTTAGATTATTGATCTGCAGTTTTTCTTCTTTTCTAATGTAATCTAATATAATCATTCAGTAATATGTATTTCCCTTTAAGCACTACTTAAGCTACATCTCATAAATTCTGAT